TTTAAGTTTAACCGCATTCGTATTGGCGGGCGTCCTTAAGTCGGACGTCGTAAGTCGGGGACCCCTGTACAGTATTGTAATGATTTTATTTATAATTTTCTCAAATGATCATGGACGTGTGAGAAACATGTTGAGCTAGCGAGTGATGGTGGATGGGTTGGCTCATGCAAGAATGAGACCCCAAGTGTCAGACATATATAAGTCACGTATAAGCAGGGATGCGTACTATGGATACACATACTCCGAGACCCTACTGTATTTATTATTAAATTAACTCCTAAGCTTCAGTTCACATCCTGTGATGTGTGTCTGTCGAGCTTCAGTTCATTTCATATGACATTTGATCCTTCTTGGGCTTTTTTTAATAAAAAAGGCAGTCCTGGCTAGTTTATGTTGCCTAATAGGTAATTATTTTTCACTCACACTTGAGCTTCCAAATCTCTTCTGAGTGGCTTCTCAGCTTTTGTAATGTAGGAATCTCGCCCTTGAACTTGACATACTTCACCATGTGTTTCTGCCCCCTCCCCCCACAACCCCCAAGCACCAGTCTAGTACAGTAAAGCCTCCGATAACGACAGTTCAACTAACGAAAATTCATATCCAAGAACCTGGTTAATTTAGGACCCAATTCAATTTGCGCCATTACTTTCTTCGTATCTACGACAAAATGAAAAAAAAAATTTAATTTTCTTATAAATAACTGTAAATCCCGATATTATTAAAAAAAAAGACACGTCTGGCTCATTGAGGCTGCCGGGCTTGTTAGTGGTGACGCCAGCATCACTTGTATAAACAATTGCAGCTGGCGGCCCTTTGTTTTCACTCATCTGCACAGGAAATGGAGAAAAACTTTATCAGGTTTCTTACAACATTTTTGCATCCTTATTCAACATGAGCAAGAGAGCAAATGATGGTAGTGTTGTTTCAAAAGCTAATAGAAAGTTTTTGAGATTAGCCGAGAAACTAGATGTGTTAAAATGATATGAAATTGGTGATAGGTCTGTGGATATTATCTGGAGCAAGCAATGAATATATTTTCTGAAGAGGATCCATTAACAGAATAAAGCATTATTATTTAAATAAATGCAAAAGACCTCTACATAAAGGTTGTATAATGAGAAAAGAAAGCAGCTGTGCATGGTTCTTTCTAGAGCTTTATTATTCAAAGGCCTAAACCATCAACTTCAGCTACACCATCAAATTCAGCATCATAAGCAGCTTCAACAACAACTTCAGGTCTCCGTAACAGTTTCAGCAACAGCTTTATGGAAAGCTACAGCTTCAGCCAGAGTTGAACCTGATGACTTCATCATCTGAGTAAAAACTCGCACAACATCATTGGCTGTTCTTATGTTTTAGACTTTACCACTATTGATGGATAGAATTTTTGCATTGCTTTCGTAAGTATTATTTAAAACATATATGAACAGTAAATAAGTGTTGCTTTCATATTCTTATGTTGAGAGATGATGATATGTTTTCACATGTGCCCACTTCCTGTACAGTACATACGTTGGCGTTCCCAATCGTCTCGCTTTATTTCTTTACCATTAGAGGTTAGCTACTTCTATTGTTCCATTTATTAACATTAAATAACATTACTTAAAACATACACACAGGTATTCAATTTTTGTACATTAAGTTCACTACATTTACAGCCAGGGTCTTATTTTCTTCAGTGGAACCAGCGTCACTCACGAAAACAATGCCGTCTTGTCTCCTCATGTGTGTTTTAATATTCTACGTATTATTAATGAATTGGATTGTTCATTTCACAACTATAAACATTAATTCAATCAACTACATATTCATTGATAAACAATAATGAATCTTTTGTACATATTCTTGAGATAAATGACTCTTTCCTTGAGTGCGCACGTATACATTGGTGTTCCATTATGAGTCTCACTTTTTTTTCTTTAATATCAGTGGTTACTTCTACTGTACATTAAAAAGCATTAATTAAAACTTACATATTTTGTACATTAATTTTACTACAACAACACTCAGGGTCTTATTTTCTTCAGTTTCAGGTGGATAACTGACATTATGGGCGTAAACACAGACAACAATGCCATCTCTTATCCTCTTGTGTGCTTTAATATTTTACGTATTATTAATGAATTGTATTGTTTATTTCGCATATATAAACACTAATTCAATCAAATACATATTCAGTAATAAACATTAATGAATCTTTTGTACATACATTGGTCCCTCGGTTAATGAATGCAATTCGTTCCAGAAGGTCGTTCGTTAACCGAAACCATTGTTTCAATGGGATTTTGGGTAATTGGTTCCAGCTCACCGAAAATTACATACAAAGTATGTAGAAGGCTCCTGGTTGATGATGATGATGATGATGGGAATTAGAAGTGGGGGTGGAGGAGAAGGGAGAAGAGAAGGAAGTGGGGGTGGAAGAGAAATCACCCCATGCTTCATGCCGTCATTTCACCCATAAAATTTTAAGTTCACTAGGTGTAATTCAAGATTATTTTCTTTAAACCAGCACTGCACTATATATTGTCAATATGTAAAATAAATTTCAGCATGACCAATAATTGTACTGTAAAAACATAAAAATAGTTTATGTTCAAGAGAGTTTCAAGCAAGATGTTACCTCTACTGACCAGAGATACAAACTGACGCCTGTTTGGTGAGTTGAGTGGCTGTTTGGCGCACTAAAAACTATTTTCCTGTACTTCAATTATGTTAAATAATTGTTAAAATTACTAAAATTTTTAATATTAAACTGGGAAAATTATTGAATAGTACAACCTTCTTGATATTTACTCAAATGGGAACGAATTTAAGCCCTAGAACTGATTACTGTATTGGCGGACTAATATTCCACCTGGTGAGCAAGCGAAAACATGTTGAGAGGAATTCGTAAGGAATTTGTTAACCAAATTTTTTTCGTTAACCGAATTGAATATTCTTATGGAAGGTAATTCGTTACCCAGTAACCGAAATTTCTTTAACCGAGGCGTTTGTTAACCGAGGGACCACTGTATTCTTAAAAAGATAAATGATGCGGTATCCTTAAATGCGCATGTATATGTTGGCGTTCCCAATCCATCTCACTTTTTTTTCTTTGCCATTAGTGGTTAGCTACTTCTATTGTTACAGTTATTAACATTACTTAAAACATATATATTAATTTTTTTACATTAATTTTACTACAGCTACAACCAGGGTTTAATTTTCTTCATTTTCTCATGTAGAACTATCGTCCTGGACTCACAGCTGTAAATACTAACGAAAACAATGGCGGCTCATCTCCTCTTGTGTGACCATATTATTATTCATTTATATTGTACAGTATAAGGTGCATTCAGAAGCATTTTTTAAAGAATAAAGTTTGCAATTTTAATTAATTGTAATGTTTTGGGGGAAAAAGAGGGTAAAAAGCCACACAAAAGATATGAAAAGGTCACACTTAGGAACGCATCTCTTTTTTATTGCTTTATTTTAATGGTAATTAATGTTTCGCGATACGATGATTCGCCTTGCTCTGCAATATTGGAGGACGCATAACCGTCGTCATTCGAGGCTTTACTGTATTGTGATCAATTACTGGAGCAGTAATAATTATATTTAATAGTGTAAATAGTAATATCATAGTAAAAAAAGTTTCCTGTACATCATACTGCCGACAAATTTGTGTGTTTACCTCGTCACTATTGCTTCCACTAAATGAACATTCTCGACTCTCCTTAGCCTTGGTGTTGCCAGTCTGTGGTAAGGCAATTTATTTATTTCCTCTTTATATTATTCATGGCCAGTTTGTAAGACTAAAAATGCTTTTTATTTGTGTTTTAAATACCCTTGGGAGGGGGGAGGGTGTTGACCATCGCCTAAAGCCCAGGGGTTAATATCGTATAATAATTAATGTAGTATTGTTTAAAAAAAATATTTTCATTCATAACAGTGCTTGCTGAAAAATGTCCTAAGGAACGCATCCCAATTACATAATGGAAGTCAGCTTTACAAGGACGCATCCTTTCCGTAACCCGTGGGATTACTGTATGAGAAGAAACAATATGAAAGATGCAATTATAGGGCATGGGGAGAGGCAGAGCGGATAAAGAGATAGTGGGTTTATTATAGAGTAAAAGATTAAATTAGGTTTTGTAGGAATTAGGTACAGTTGTACCCCAATAAATGACACATATAGAGACCAAGAAAAGTCGTTGGTTAGTGATTTAACTGTTATCGAAGCAATTAATCCCATAAGAACATAACAAATTCAGGGGGGTTAGGGACCTGCCACCCTCAAAAAATTCCCATCTACCCTTGATATATCTTTGTAGTGCACACTGTCAATCGAGAAAATAAAGCTAACATGAAAAGCAAGTATACTAAGCCATAAATTAGCATTGTAAAGCATAAACTGAGACTGTTATTTACTTGTGTTGAGGATGGTAGAGATAGTCGAGGGTAGCAAGTTCATCTTTACCAATCTTTGCTGATCCATCACCACTCGTATTATGCCTTATCACATCACATCAATCTGCCCAGCACTAGACGAACTATCACTGGAATACAGAGATAATGAAAAAACACAGTCGGAGACACATGGTAAATGTAAACTAGCAAAGATGCCAGGAATAAGTCAGAGGTAGTGCACAGAGCCCTCTTGTGACAAGAATTTGCACCATGCCACCACCCACAATATTCAAAACAAATCTGCCACTCCTCTCGGATCTCCGGAGTATCAATGAAACTTAGGGGTTAAGTGAAGCGGCGGTTATTGGGGAGTTGGTTTTTGGGGTATACCTGTACTACTGTTGTTGTTTTAGCTACAATTCCTGAGTTTGAGAGAAGAGAATGGATAGGAAAAGTGTGTTGTTATGGAATGCAAGCCAGGGTGTTTATTATTAACCAGCTTCCAGTTAAGTTGACCGATTCGCCTGATGTATGAGTCAGATGAGAGTGGGTCTGAAATAAAGTATAGTAATAGGGTCTTAATTGCAAAATATATTCTCTACCTTCCACAGGCTTGAAAGCTGGAACTACAGCAACTGTGTGTTTACTGCGGGGAGGAGTAGAGCTTGCTGTGGGTCATGTGGGAGACTCTCGGGCAATATTATTCCGGTCAGGTGTACCAAGGGAACTTACTCGTGACCATTGTCCATCACTCATCGCAGAGAAGGTACTGTACTTTGCCAACAAAGCCCAGATATTATTAAATATGTTTATATCATGTTTGATAGGTATGATTTAAAGGTAACCCCAATTTCCTCTATAGAATTTTCCTTTTATAGAGTAAGAGAGAGAAAAATAATGCTTTAGTCTTTCATTCCTATTTGAAGCAGTTAATTTCATCACAGACATCCACATTCTATGTTCGTTATCCTTGTTGCACAGCTTACCCACCCATAGCATTGTTTCATAGAAACGTGATTTAAATTGTGAATACTTTTTAGATTTCTATTTTATTTGATCAAGATGCAATACAGGTTGTCTTTGGTGCATCACCATCAGAGCAAGTCACAAGGGTTGACATACAGGCTTTAGGCAGGTCACTCCTTTGGTCTCTGCCAACTAATCCGTTATATGGGTAAGCTGTCGGTAAGCCAGTTCCTAACATCAATGGCAATGATATCTCAGTTTTCCACCTGATACCTTAGGAGATATAAAGATGTGTGACAATATAAAGGATTTTTTAATTTCTTTGTCCTAAAGAGTACAGGTAGTTCTGCTATAACGCGATAATTGTGTTCTTGTAAAATATCGTGTTATAGAAAATCGCGTAATAGAAATAACAGGGCTTATGGAGAAAATAGGGTTAGGTGCAGATTACTCGAAATCGAAAAAATTTAGTAGTTAGCCTAACACAAAGGATAGCACAGTCTAAATAAATGTTACATTCATATCTAATAATGAAATCATACAGTAAATTTAACACTTTACCTTGAAAAAATATGAATGTAACTTGATGGGGGAGAAGGGTGATTTTGAGGTTGATAACATCAAGCTTCTCTTCAAATGTTATATCCTTTCTTTTACGATAATCACCGGGAATTCTATCATCAGAATGCTTTTTGGAGATATTCTTCTTTACCATATTCACAGTTAATACCACAAAATTGGAGAAATAGTAAGCAAAAATCGCGTTATAGCAAACAAGCGATCGCGTTATACAAATATTGTTCCGAATTCATAAATCGCGTTAGAGCAAATTCGCGTTATCAAAACACGCGTTATAGCAGAACTCACTGTATAAAAGGCTTATCTAACTGAACAATATTACAATACACTTGTGCTTTGTTTTTTTTTGCAAATTTTGACGTCTAGCAATTGGCACTGTAGAAGTAGAAATTTTCATTGTAAAGCTGTACACAGCTGCATATCAAAATTTCTTGGCCGCTGCAAGTCGAGTGCACATTGACTGCACATCCCTAATAGCTCAGTTTGTCATATGCACATATAATGAGAACACTAATAATCCATATTCCTTAATAATTTTGTTATTCTAGCAGCCATGCCACCCAAGTGGAGGGGCAGGAAAGGGTGCACAAACATCCCTCAGGCCATTCACACCTCCCTTCCAAATTTCAGCTCTGTAGACTGACCCACAGGTGAGGGGGGGGGGGGGTCAAAGGCTGAGGTATCTGTTGTTGCCCAGGTTTATTTTTAATGAAGCATATGGCAGACACCCCAAATTACACCTTCAGTTACATAACCATACTAAATTTAATCTGTTTAGGTTAAAAATATATGACAAAAAAAGAAAAAAGACAAGCACATAACTAGTGTTTGCCCTTGGCCAGAATTAAGCACACATACAAAAATTAACCATACCAAATATTATCTCTACCTTAAAAACTGTGCTTGTGTACAGGTGGGCCTACTTTAAGTGGAGGTTGCCCTGACCTCCCCTCCAGAACTTAGTAGTTCTTGAGTATTATTGGAACTCTTTCTATTAGCATACAGTACCAATTTTCAGCTTTATCTTAAAAACCATACTTCTACATCAGTGGCGGATCCAGGGGGCGGGGCCGGACCACCCCTTTTTGTCAGGAAATTCCAATACTTTTTCTCTAATGCAGTATTGTACTCAGGCATTTTGTATAGTGAAAAGTAATTGCTATTGACCTCAGAATATCTCCTAATAACAAGTGCACATGGCTTCAAAATGGCCTCAAAATGCCCATGATATATGTCAGATTTAAAAAAAATCGGGGGCTAATTTGCCCCCACCAAAGTCTCTCACCTGTGGTCACAAGTTCCTCCACCCACAACTTCTTGGACCCCCCCCCCCTTGCTATTCTTTGATCACCCCTGTACATGCAAAAGAAACAGACAAATTTATGTATATTTAATGAGGGGATTCCAACTGTATTAGTGGGGGATCAGCCTGTGGGGCCAAACCCGCAAGATTCCACTTTCGTAACACTTCTGGGGGAGCTCCAACTTGTGGTGCGGTCTAGGGATTCTCAGATATTCCTTGTAACTTAAGTTTTGAGAGGGCAACTTAACTACAGGGAGTCCTCATTATTTGTACACCCACTACTGTACAGTAAAAACTTGATAAATCGAACTTCAATATATCGGAATTCGCTTTTTTTGGACTCAGAGATACTCTGGTCACCAAGGAGGAGGAGGAGGAGGAGGGGGGGGGGGGAGATAAATAAAAAAATATTATGAAATTAACAACACTTACTGAATACTGTACAGTGGTCTAATCAGTTTTGCTATCGGCCTACTGAGAACTCAGACACTTGAGTATGGAAGCAGGTGGGGGCTGATCAGGTAATGCTGCTTTTAACAGGTTTATTTATTTATTGATTGGCCTCTTATGGTTTATGGCTCATCATGATTAATACAGTGAACCCTCGAAGATCCGGACTACAAGGGGGGACCACCTGTCCGGGAAAGTCGATTGTCTGAATCTTCCGGTGAATGTACTAAATGTATAAAAATGATAAATAATGATATAAAATAACACCAAAAATACAGTACATATTATCCTGACTCCTGGTGTTAGTTATACAGACTTTTTCCTGTGAAAAAGCCATAATTTTGAGCAACATATTACTCTACTCATTTGTATTGAAATGTACTACACTAAAGGACTAAAAAAAATTTTTTTTTTCAAAATATATAATGTCTATACTCAAATTATTTGCTATCTTGCAAGGATTCCAGCAATGCAAGTTATATTTTGCTAAGTGTAGTCAGTGACATTTTATAAGATAAAAACATTAAGTCTAAAACTACCTTCACTCCTGGGAAGGGGGAGGTGAGGTGTTGACGGCCAGGCAGGGGGGAGGGTGAGGTGAGGTAAGGTATTGACAAACTGGTGGCAAGAGATGCCTAGTGGTATTTATTTATCTGTCATGTAGATTGAGTTTAAGTTTTTCGCTTATGAAATGTCACTGAATTGACTTGGGAGAATATAACTTATATTGCTGTAATTCTTGTAAGATAGTGATTAATATGAATATAAACATGCTCTAGAAATAAAAATTTTATTAATTATTTAGTACATTTAAGTACAGTACAGGTTTGCCCTTAGGACAATTATTTCTTTTACTTTTTTCACAATATGTATTTAGGATAGTGTGTGTGTGTGTGCATGTTAATGAGTGAAGGTAAATGAAGAAAGTTACGTATATCTGCCCAAAAATACGAGTTGAAAAACTTGTACAGTAAAGCCTCGAATAACGACGTTAATGTGTCCTCCAATATTGCAGTGTGAGGTGAATCATCTTATTGTGAATCATTAATTACCATTAAAATAAAGCAATAATAATGAGATGCATTCCCAAGTGTGACCTTTTCATATCTTTTGTGTGGCTTCTTGCCCTCTATTCCCCCCAAAACAATACAATTAATGAAAATTGCAACCTATATATTTTAAATAATGTTTCTGAATGCACCTTATACAATATAAATGAATAATAATATGGTCACACAAGAGGAGATGGGACGTCATTGTTTTCGTTTGTGTTTACAGCCGGGACTCCGGGATGATAGTTCTACACGAGAAAATGAAGAAAATAAGACCCTGGTTATAGCTGTAGTAAAATTAATGAAATAAAATTAATATACTGTATATGTTTTAAGTAACATTATTTAATGTTAATAAATGGAACAATAGAAGTAGCTAACCACTAATGGCAACCACTAATGGCAAAGAAAAAAAAGAGATGGATTGGGAACGCCAACATATACGTACGTGCTCACTTAAGGATACCACGTAATTTATCTTTTTAAGAATAGTATGTACAAAAGATTCATTATTGCTTATTACTGAATATGTATTTGATTGAATTAATCTTTATACAGTATATGCGAAATGAACAATACAATTCATTAATAATATGTAGAATATTAAAACACACAAGAGGATAAGAGATGGCATTGTTGTCAGTGTTTACGCCCATAATGTCAGTTATCCACCTGAAACTGAAGAAAATAAGACCCTGGTTGTTGTTGTAGTTAAATTAATGTACAAAATATGTATGTTTTAATTAAAGTTATTTAATGTACAGTAGAAGGAACCACTGATATTAAAGAAAAAGTGAGTCTGACAGTGACCGCCAATGTAAACAGTGCGTGCTCACTCAAGGAAAGTCATTTATCTTAAGAATATGAACAAATGATTCATTATTGTTTATTACTGAATATGTATTTGATTGAATTAATGTTTATATATGTGAAATGAACAATGCAATTCATTAATGATATGTAGAATATTAAAACACACAAGAGGAGACAAGACGGCATTGTTTTCGTGAGTGACGATGGTTCTACATAAGAAATTGAAGAAAATAAGACCCTGGTTGTAGCTGTAGTGAACTTAATTAAAAAAAAATTGAATACCTGTATGTACAGTATGTTTTAAGTAATGTTATTTATTGTTAATAAATGGAAGAATAGATGTAGCTAACCACTAATGGTAAAGAAATAAGGTGAGACAATTGGGAATGCCAACGTATGAACATTAAGTGCATACATGTGAAAACATATCGTCATTTCTCTACATATGAATATGAAAGCAACACTTCTTTACTCTTCTTATATGTTTTGAATAATATTTACGAATGTACAACAAAAATTCTACTCGCCAATGGCGGTAAAGTCTAAAACACAAGGGCAACCAATGAATATTGTGCGAGTTTTTACTCAGATGACGAAGTCATC